TTAGCCAAGCAGAAAAAGGCAAAAACGTTGTCAGACCTCCTGACCAGGCTTCATATCCTGGAGCGCACATATAGGACGGGAATGGATCGTACGGTTGAAACTGACCTTTTGAGGGTTCGCAAATCTATTTGAGAGCACTCCCTTTATGAAGCAAAACATGTTTTATTGAAGGCCAGGTGCTCTTTCTATGAGTTTGGTGACAAATGTGGCGGTTTACTGGCCAATGCCCTTCGGGCCAAACAATCTCAAACTTATGTATCCGCCTTGTCACCTCCATCCAACCCAAAGATTCATTCTAATCCGGACCTAGCTAAAGCTTTTAGAGACTTTTACTCTACGCACTACAATCTGGACCCAGCCTTGATGACTCTTCTGAGGTCAATGAATCTCTTGGATATGCGACATTACATCTGGGAATCAAACCTTCCAACACTTACTAATGAAGAAACAGACACTTTGTCCCAACCTATTTCGCCAGAGGAATTTGCTGTAGCCGTGGCCTCTACCCAGCCTGGAAAGGCACCTGGACCAGATGGTTTCACCATAGCCTATTACAAAACCTTCCAGATGTTCCAAGCACCCATTTTACCACAGCTTTTAATGCTAATATGGACGGCAAAGTTGTCCCATCAGATCTTCTGCACACTAGCATATCTGTTATTTCCAAACCGGGTAAGGATCCGCTACTCTGTGGTAGTTACAGACCTATTTCACTCTTGAATTGTGATGTGAAGCTCTTCATCAAAATAAAAGCCATGCAATTGTCCCCTTTGTTACCCTGTATTATTTCATTGAACCAGGTAGGTTTTGTCCCAACACGAGAAGGCTGTGATAACACCATAAGGATGCTCAATATCATCACCAAGGTACGGAGATCTCATACCCCACTTTTACTCCTGTCCACTGATGCCAAAAAAGCATTTGACAGAGTAAGTTGAAGTTTCCTTTTGGAAACTTTGCGACAGATAAGAATACCGACTCAAATGATGTCATGGGTCTCCGCATTATATACTAACCCATCTGCTACTGTTCATGTAAATGGATTCAATTCAGACCCATTTATGATATCCAATGGAACTAGATAGGGCTGTCCACTGTCGCCCATATTGTTCATCCTTACCTTGGAACCATTTCTTCAACACATTAGACACAACATTTCCGTTCAGGATTTGCTTACGAAAGATTACCACCATAAGGTAACAGCATATGATGACGATCTGCTTTTCTATGTCACCAGCCCCCTTACTTCCTTACCCTCCCTTATCTTGGAGTTGGAAAATTCTCCAATTTTAAAGTTAATCTTCAAAAGCTTTAAATGTGTCCCTCTCTGCTATAACAATTGCTAGACTTCGCCCTTACTTTCCATTTAAATGGGCTAGGCAATTTATACAACACTTAGGGACCAAAATCCCAGCGCACCTAGATGCAATCTACTCCCTTAACTTAATCTGCTGATGTAAAAAAATGGGACTCCCTTGCCTTATCATGGTTTGGTCATTGTAATGTGCTGAAAATGAATGTTATGCCATGGTTATTATACCTATTACAGTCCCACCAGTTAAACTGCCACAAGCTTTCTTCCACTCTGCCACTCTGTGTGCTCTGCCTTCACTCGATTTGTTTGGCATGGTAAACATCCGTGCTTAAGTAGAAATTTGTTGCGCAGGCCCAAACTGAGAGGTGGCATAGGCTTCCCTGACCCAGCGCTATACTATACAGCTGTTCAAATGACCAGAGTGGTGGAATGGTGTAGAGACCAGAAGCACCAATTATGGGTCAAACTGAAACAGGAAATGGCGGGGGCCCTGCTTTCAGGACTTCCACGGGCAGGAAAGCAACGCATATCCCATTTTACTACTCTCCCACTAATAGGCCCCGTGCTGGCCGAACTGGACAGATTTTTCACATTGGCCAATAATAGGCTACCCAGGATTTCTACGTGGGCTTACTGATTCTAGCTTTAGATCCCTGTCGTCTCAGGGTCTAATGCACGCACCTCACTTTTTACGTCCCACTGGATGGGTCTCGCTACGTACTTTGTTCCCCAGTCCGTCTACCTCTATCACAGATTGTTGGAAGACCCTCAAACTATCTCATTTCCTGTGTTCTCTACCTAAACATTCACTTTTCCATAGAAAATTACACGCATTCGAGGAAATGTGCTTGGGAGAAGGCTCGATCCAAAGCTCTTTCTACTTCCTATAAATACCTTTTGGAACTTTACGCTCAGTCTGATTCCCCCCTACTTGGCTAAATGGGAACAAGACTTACAGGTCACTTTCTCTGACTCCCAAAAGGAACTAATACTTTTCTTTGCACATAAATCATCCGTACTTACAAAATAGTGACTTGTTGGTATAGGACCCCGTCGGTCCTTGTGAAACTGTACCCTCAACAAAGTGATTGTTGTTGGAGATGTGGTTCGTGTTTAGGTACTCACTTACATATTTTTATGAATGTCTCAAACTTCAAACCTTTTGGAAACCTGTGCTCCTCCTCCAAAATTTACGGACATCTCCTTGCGAGATAATCCTGCTGAAATTGTGCTCAATCTTACTCCCCTATCGCAGAAATCTTTACTAAAACACATGTTGAATGCAGCACGGGCCTGTATTCCTAGCTTATGAAAACAACAATCTCCCCCAACAGCTGTCCAATGGCTTGCAAGGGTGAATGATATAGAACAACTGGAGGACCTGACCTCAACCCTGCGAGACAAGACTGAGGAACATAAGACCAGGTGGTTCTATTGGAATACCTTTAATTTCTCTGATGAATATATGCAATATGTGTGAACAGCATGATCTGCTTCTGTCTGCTCTCTAAATGAGATGTGCCTCCCCTGAGTTCCGGCAGAGGTGACCCCACCCCCGTTTTGTGTAAAGTCCAATTCCTGTGTGAGAAGTCAGTGCAGCCAAGGACTTCAGCCATGGTCCACAGAGTAAGCAGGCAAGTGGGTAGTCGGCCGCAATTTTCGATTCACCCTCTCTAGGTCCAGCTACAGGCCTCTTACAATAGGCGGCGGAGTGATACAGCTGCACTCCGCCTGCCCTCTGGTGTCTATCCCGCCTTCATGGGACAGGAACAGGGCAGAGGACAGCGGCAGGCCAATCAGCAGCAAATGTGAGCAGTTGAGCAGACTTTGACAAATAAAAAAAGATGATAATGTAAAAAAAGCAACATGTTATGAACAAACAGTTGGCCCAAAGAGATCCAACCCCAACCTCCAATATTCTTAGGGGCCACAAGTGATGCTCTGAGTGAAGAGTGCATCATGTGAGTTTGAGCTCCCAGAAGTATTGGAGGCTGGGGCTGAGGTAAGTGTTTTGTTTGGGCAGTTCTGTTGGGGAGGGGGGGGGGGCAATGGACTGTCAAATATATCATATGCTGAGCTGTATTTTATATATATATATATATATATATATTTATTTATTTTTATAGTACAGCCCAGCATATGAAGATGTTTTTTTCTGACACTCCACTGTTTCCCTTCCACAACAGAACTGGCTGCTTGCTATTCTATGCGGTGCAATTTGCATTTATACATTTTGTACTGACGTAAAATTATTAGTTAGGGTATTTTGAGCATTTTCACAAGTACGAATACTCATGAAAATACTCAGTATCGGCACTGATACCGGTATCAGTGCATCCCTACTAGAAACTACATTTTAAGCAATAGTTAGCATGGATTTACAAAAGACCGAAGTTGCAAACAAATCTGATTTCTTTTTATGAAGACATAAACAAAATCTTAGACAAAAGATTGGCTGTAGATATTGTATACTTGGATGTTGGAAAAGCATTTGCTGGAAACCTCCCTACACCGATCCTATGATGAGTTAGTGAGCAGAGAGTGGGAATGAAGGGCGATTTCAAATGCCATGGCTTTCTCTCCTCTCCTACAGCTGAGAATCTGGAGCATCTACCTCCATCCTCCGATGGACGACACCAAGGTATACATCCCCACACACCTTACTCTCCCACGTTTCTCTCCACTCAGCATGGGATCAATGCAGGGAGGTTTCCTCACCGCTCCTGTGAACTCAGGCTATGACAAGTACAGTATCAGAGACAGTACGAATACGAAAATACTCATGCACTGATACCGGTATCAGTGCATCCACTACTAAAACTACATTTTAACATGGGGGGTGGGGGGGGGGGGTGGGGGGGGGGGGGGGGGAAATTCAATAGTTAGCATGATTTACAAAAGACCGAAGTTGCAAACAAATCTTAACATTACTTACTTATGAGAAGACATAAACTTGACCTGAAAATATTGGTACTCGTACTCTTCAACCAAAAATTGGTATCGATGCAAAACCTCTTCTACATGGTCTTTTTAGTAAACTCTCAATCCAGTGGTACCACCCAAGTCTAAAAATTTAAAACCATGGCTTTGAAATAACAGAGCTCAACATTTTGAGGACACATGGGTGTAAACCATCTGCTCCAGGTGCCTAAAAGTGATTCTTTTAGGCCTATGTCAATACTATCCCCATTATGGACTTGAGCTCCCCCATGTTTCTTTGTATGTACAGAGCTGAATTAGGTATTTAACTTGTTCAGCTCTTTGGACCTACTATGTAAGTCCAAAGAGTGAACCATTAATCACAAGCTAATGGCTGCAATAGCAGTGTCCATTTTCTTCAGCTGGCTTTCGCCTTGAAAGTGAAAGTGATGTGGTGGCTCTATAGAAATGCATTGCCAGAATTTCTAAGCTCTTCACTCAACTCAGAATGTGTTTTTGTTACAGTCTGTCTCAGTTACAGAGATATCCCATTATTTCCTGTCCTGACAGAAGTGAAGAGAAATTTCCCAAACAGGAATACAGACAGCAGTAAATAGCTGAAATCCTTTCCTGCTTTTATCAAATACAAAAATAGAAATTTTTGGCAGGAGTTGGGCTTTAAGTTTTAGTTATTTTGTTTTAGTTTGGCTGATTTTTATTGAACCCCTTCAGCCAAATCCTTACGCTGTTACTGTCATGGTATTACCTCTTTTCAAGTTCTGATTCTCCCAGAGTCCCATTTAATAACTGGTTAGGAGTCCATTTTAATGTCAAATTTTCCCCGCTCTGATGAAGTGAAAGATATCCAGGAATGGCTTCCATATCTTCTTTCTACAGAAGAGTTTAAACATCACAAAATTGTATATATTTCAGGACAAATAACTATAAATCTACTGGTACATCAAATTCAGCATTATGAAGTTTTAGTCATCAATGCAATGCAAACCAAGGTGCTGAATATAATATCTTAGTACACATGCTTGTCTGTGTATTATTACTTACACAGTTGAAGACACCAGACATGCTAACCATAGCCAAAAAAGCCGTCATCATAGTACACAGGACATATGTAGCATGTTAAGTCCTTTTGCCTCATTGCTGCATCCGTCCCTCCCAACTTGCGACAATTCTCAGCTCTGAAAATGAAGCGGGAGTTGCTGTGTACATTCACCAGCTCTAGCAGCTGCAGCTGTTAAAAAAAATTATTGTCTGACTCCGTGTTTATCAACACAATTCAGACGCAAAACAGAGATACAAAGTAGCATGGTTACTTTTGTACCTTTTCTGTTCAAATCATCTGATCAAAGGGCTGAATTTCTGGTACTATATTTTTATTGGAATTTACAAGTGTACAAAAGTAGGATACACAGTAAAAAAATAAACAGGCAACCAAACTGGGTTACAAAAGTACAACGGAACAGGTAAGAACACCCCGATGTGGGCACTGAAAATAACCAGTAACGTCATAACATGCGAGGTCATTAGAGTTGGAAAACTATATATGCAATGAGACCCAAGGAAAAATCAAGAGTACTTGGTATACAGTTCCAAACATTACCCCACACTGGGGAAAGCTAGGAGATAAATCTGGAGCCCAGGAAAATACGAGGGCTCCACACTTCAACATGTAATGTGGCATAGGGATGGGTTACCATATGGGTACCATCTGGCCCTGCAAAACAATGGCCAAAAACAAATGGCAAAAACTGGGCAAAAAAGGGGTAAGAAAATAGGCAGAAGGGAAAAGAGGAAAAAAGGAGGGGTCAGGAAAAGACGAGGCTGAGAGAGCAGGAAAAGGGGAGAAGAAGAGAAAAGGGGCAGGGCCCCTGGAGGGTCGAGCTTACGTGATTCAGTACTACAACAGAGAGAGAAAAGAGGAAGATAGGCAATCACAGTTGCAATGCTCTCAGGTCAGATTGGCAGTGCTCAATCCACGGGAAAAAAAGGGCTGAATTTCAATCAGCAGATGCTTTTGTCTGGGCTGGGCTCCTGCTACTTAATGAGCAGCTCATTTCTTTCAGTGCTCAGAAGATGCTCAGCTGTCGGTTAATTACTTGTTGTCTCCACAGTGACTCACCAGGATATGATTACCTGCCTCATTAGTCCAGCATACAACCAGCCCTTTTTGCTATTTTAGCAGCTTAGCTCATTTCCTCCTTGCCCTTGTGTCATCTATGATCTTCAGTGTGTTCCTGCTGTGTTCCTATATACAACTCGGTCTGGCTGACTTCTCTTCTGATTCCTGTTCCTGCTTTTTGGCTCCTGACTATGCTGACTTCTGGTTTCCTGACTCTGGCTCGTCTGATAACCTGCTCTGGCATCCAAACCCTGACTTCTGTTTTGACTACATTCCTGATCTATGTTATATTTGCTATTTCATTAAAAGGTATGATTTTACCTGCACTTTCTGCCTCTGCCTGGTTAATGGTTCCTGACAGCTTTCCATTAAAACAACCTGGCAAGTTAAAAAAAAAATGTACATTTGTCTATTTATCCCCTTGTTAACCCTTAGTTCACCCTTATCAGCCCTATTTCACTCATTCTCCCCTTCTACCTTCAAGTTATTTGCAAATAACTTTTCAATCACATATAGGAACTTGAATAAAAGTATAAACTATAATAAAAAAGTGGGGTAAGTGAGCGCTAGGAGCAATGTAGTATAAATATGTCAGTGGCTATGCACCAAAAGGTACCATATAAGACCTTCAAGCAGACAAAAATGAAAAGAGGGGGTGAAGCGCTAGTAAAATCCACAAAAAATAAAATGTAAAAGACCATAAATATATAAAAACAATAAATTCACATATAAATCATGCGTAATAAGGTGATACTGTGCAGATATATGCGCCATTAAATGTGTGGTTAATATCGTGAAGGAGGTGTCAGACTCAATCAACTATATAAAAGTAAGTCCAAAGTGACAATGTGAGTGAGATCTCAAATGATCTTTAGACATCCAATGACTAGAACCGTGGAAGAGGTGAGAAAATGGGTATAGATTGCGCACTCGCCAGATACGCAATCTTTATGTGCATTTGTGTTGTATAACCACAGAACATCAGATGTCCTCAGATAGGTCTGGTCAGATCTGGCCATGTATCACTCACCACCTCATGGTACTGTCACACTCGGGAATGACTGCTCTGCAAGTGTAGCCAGCTCCCACAGGAGCTCAAAAGAGGCCAATAGTGCAGTATTTCAAGGATGTTTATTCCAAAAGTAAGGCAAGTAAACATAGTAGAAGTAATAAAAGCAATACTGACCAAAACAAGATGGTCACCAGGGCCCCGCGTGGCGTCAACCTGCTGTAGCTCTGGTCTGACGCGTTTCGAGCTATGGCTCGTAGTCATGGGGGTTCAGCTTACAGCTGTTGATGCTACACTGTCCTTTAAATAAGGGAAATGGTGCATGTGTCGTTATCGTGTGCCATTTTCCCAATGCTGGATGTCTCAGCGATGGGCGCAATTTTGGCGAAGCCCGGTTAACCGTGCATGCACGAGCGTCTTGTAAACTAACAGGCAGACACATAGCGAGGATCACCAGGGAGGGGTGTGTTGCTACGGAAACGATCCCGTGAATGCACACACATAGAAACTCAATTAACACTGGGTCAAAGTGAAATTATGCCATCTGCACCCAAATAGACTTTAATATTCTGGTCTAAAGGTGATAGTAGTGGTTTAAAATACCCATATAGATATATAGCAAATAGGTGTACCTCTGGTGATCCTGTAAATATAACGATCAGCAATATTATAGTCCTTATTGTACCAGCATTATTGCATATCCCATAAAAAATAATCAATAATAAAGAATACTACAAGTTAAATAGATACATCACAATTAAGATAATAAGACTAATGTCATTCTGATAAATAGCATAAAAACATATAGAAAAAAAACATATGAGCCCATATAATATATTATAGAAACAGGGGTAAAATTATGCAGATATAATATCTGTCCCCTTATGGTGCAGACATTATTGCACATCCCATAATAAATAACCAATAAGTAATATAAAAAAATCACAATTGGGATAATAAGAATCCATAAACTAAATAATTCTGATAAAGAAGAAGAAGACCATGTAAGAACCTACAATATGTAAGGTAAAGTTATGAAAAAATGATGTCCGCATCCTAAAGCGTATAAAATGTTAAAAAAATATAAAAAATATATATTAAAAAAATATATAAATATAGACTTCGCCAAGACCTGAAACAGTAATGATAAAATAGAAAAAAAAAAATGCATGTATAAATGCGTTTATAAAATAGTAAAAATATATAAAAATACTCAACTATTATCAATAAAACAATTAATATCCAGTTCTATGTTAAGCCCCTGTGGACGCATGGAATCCATCTGGAAAATCCATTTGGTTTCCATCTGCGACACCGCTCTTCTTTTATTGGTGCCTCTCCAATGGGCTTGCACTACATCAATCCCCACAAACATCAAAGAAGATGGAGTTGTTCACATCACATCCCAAAGGGCAAAGGGATAATATTAATGTTGTATCCCTATTGTGATGTATTCTGTAGTGCATCAAGAGCGAATATTCCTTATAGCCTTTCTTCACGTTACTAATATGCTCTCGTAATCTGTCTCTGAGCCTCCTAGTAGTACGTCTGATGTACTGCTTATTGCAAGGACATTGTAAAAGATAAACAACATGCCTACTGTAGCATGATATGAAATTCTTAATCTTAAAAGTCTTGCCAGTGGTGGCAAGTGAAACTTTCAACTTTCTTTTTCCTTCTCCCATTACATGTGCATATGATACACTTATTGCATGGGAAAAACCCAACCATATTGTCAAGGAAAGAGACTTTCTTAGGTGGATTAATGATGTTAGGGGCTATCAGGTTTCTAAGAGATTGGGCTCTCCTATAGGTGATCTCAGGTTTATCTGGTAAAATCTTGGTTAGAACTGGATCTCCTTTCAAAATTTTCCAATTCTGATTTATTATCCTAGAGATCGTTTTATACTGTCTGGAAAACATAGTGACAAAGGGGCAGATTTTAGGTGGCCTATGCAATGTGTTATCAGCCAGTAATAGTTTTCTGTCCATATTTGCTATCTCATACATGGTCCGGGTAAGGTGTAATTCTTCATATCCCTTTTCCATGAATCTATTTTTAAGGACAGAGGCTTGAGATAAGTAGGTATCCAGGGAGGTACAATTTCTTCTTATTCTAAGGAATTGGCCTTTGGGTATGTTAGAAAGCCACAGAGGGTGATGGCAACTACTAGTGGGAATATAGCTATTGCGGTCTGTTGCTTTAAAGAAAGATGAAGTTGCAACAGTACCATCTAAGTTCATCAATATTAAATCCAGAAAATTCACACTGGTTTTTCTATATTCAAACGTTTCCCACTAGTAGTTGCCATCACCCTCTGTGGCTTTCTAACATTCCCGAGTGTGACCATGGGGCGGTGAGTGATACATGACCAGATCTGACCAGACCTATCTGAGGACATCTGATGTTCTGTGGTTATACAACACAAATGCGCATAAAGATTGTGTATCTGGTGAGTGCGCAATCTATACCCATTTTCTCACCTCTTCCATGGTTCTAGTCATTGGATGTCTGAAGATCATCTGAGATCTCACTCACATTGTCACTTTGGACTTACCTTTATATAGTTGATTGAGTCTGATACCTCCTTCATGATATCAGCCGCACATTTAGTGGTGCATATATCTTCAAAGTATCACCTTATTACGCATGATTTATATGTGAATTTATTTGTTTTTATATATTTATGGTCTTTTACATTTTATTTTTTGTGGAGTTTACTAGTGCTGCACCCCCTCTTTTCATTTTATAAAACTATAATGCACAGGAGTGTAGCATGTTTAGTTATTTTCTAGTGGTGCACACCTGAACAGGTCTGCTTTAAAGGAATCTTGTCATTATTCTGCTACCAATTTTAGGCATCAACATTCTGATCTCTGACAGCAGTGGCTTTTTCCCAATTGCCAAGCTGCCTACCAGGCCAGGTCAGCCTAAATCAAAATGATCTGACTGCCCCAGGAGTGGAGATTAGCCTCAGATTTAAAGAGCAAGGCAACAGGTACAATAAAAAAAAAATTCTCAAGCAGTCTATGCTTGCTTGTTGCAATTGTCCTTGTTCCTGACCCCTAATATTATATATAACTTATATAGGTATATATAAAATGGGACTACAGAAATCTGATGACCTTAGCAGAAATATATGTTTACTTACCGGTTGAACGAGTACATTGTTTTTCCCATAGAGTAGATGTATTTTGGAATTCTGGTGAAGTGACTCAACATATTCCCGTGCCGATGCTGCAAATTTGTCCTCTGACATGCTACCACTGGAATGACGCTTCTTAATCTGTGAAAAGTGGAAAGCTTCTTTCAATAAGTAGTTTGTCACAGCAAGTACAGTGTCTTGAAAAATTATTCATACCCATTGAAATTTTCCACATTTCGTCATGTTACTACCAAAACGTAAATGTATTTTATTGGGATTTTATGTGATAGACCAACACAAAAGTGGCACATAATTGTGAATGTCTTTTTACATTTGGCGGTCAGCAAGTGGTTAAAGACAATGGGAAAATGTTAACCACAGATAAAGCTAGATGATCTGCAAAGGTCTGACTATATATTTGGTCTTAATGTTTCTAAGGTGACCTAATTGGGGAAATTATTCCAAATGTATTTGCTCTTATTCCTCTGTAGTCATATATATTTGATTTTGCAGCCATTTGATTAATTCAGCTTTCAAATACCTTACATTTCAAGTATTCGGAGAATGACTGACCCCTTGGCAGATCATCAAGTCTTCAGGGCACATTCCTCAAACACGGAGAACATTTGTTTCTCTGCTACATATAATTCCTCTTTGATTTTAGAATTTGCCCTTCTATCTTCCATAAATAATCATTGGTGACTCATACTATCCCTTACTCCACTCACTTACAATCTATTCTAAATGGTATTTGCTTTTCAGAATCAAAGGCATACGTCTGCGTGTTTGTCTTTTTAGGTCAGAAAATATTGCCAGTGATGTCAATCCCAGGGTTTACTTTTTTCTGTGAAGAATGTGTCATTTGTGGCTGTTCAATGTCGATTGTTTGTATTATTTTAGATTTAGAGGAATTTATTTTTAGAACAGAATAGAGGAACTAATCCATTCCAGCTGTTTTTGCTAAAAATAGTTTCTAGACTTATGCACCTTGGACTTGTTACAAATATACTTCCGTGATTCAAATGTCTAAATTGTAAACATTTAATTTTATAACTAAAGTTTTTAATTAAACACATAAAACATTATTACTACAAAAATTACATTTGTTCTTACATTTGACATAACAAGAAGTGAATATATACAGATGCACATTGATCAGCCATATTATGACCAGGTATCTTGTTTCATAGCATCTTGAAGTGGGTGGGATATATTAGACAAACAAGTGAACATGTTGTCCTTGGGCAAAAAATGGGCAAGTATAAAGATTTGAGCGCCTTTGACACGGGGCAACTTGTAATGACTAGACGACTGAGTCAGAGCAATTCCAAAACTGCAGCTCTTGTGGTACGTTCTCAGTGTGCAGTGGTCAGGACCTACCAAAAATGGTCTAAAGAAGGAAAACCAGTGAACCAATGACAGGGCTCATTGATACACGTGGGGAGCAAAGGTTGGTCTGTGTAGTCCGAACCAAAAGAAGAGTTACTGTAGTTCTAAAGGTTTTTTTTTAATATTTAGTTTATTTCTAAAATAACAAACATGTTATACTTACCTGCTCTGTGCAATGGTTTATGGACCCTCCCCCTTACTGAGTGCCCCCAGCACAAGCTGCTTGCACTGGGGGCACTCATGCGTGCTTGCTCCTGAGCCAGCTCTGTGTGTCTATGGGACTCAGTCCTGCCCCCCGCTCTCTGCTCACTGGCTGTGATTGGCAGCAGTGGGAGCCAATGGCTTCCACTGCTGTGTCTCAACCAATGAGGGGAGAGAGAGAGACCTGGGAATGCTGAGGCTCTCATGCACAGTGCTGGATGAAGATTGGGCTCAGGTAAGTATTAGGAGGCTGCTGAAAGTTTTTTTACCTTTACTTGTAGAATGAAAAAATGTTCAGCCTTTAGAAGCACTTTAATGCTGGTTCTGATAGAAAGGAGTCAGAGCACACAGTGCATCACAGTTTGTTGTATATGGGACTGCGTAGCTAAAGACTGGTCAGAGTGCTCATGCTGACCAGTGTCCACAGCCAAAAGCACATACAATGGGCACCAGCATCTGGACTGGACCACCGAGCAATAGAAGAAGGTTGCTTAGTCTGATGAATTCAAGAATGGTTTGAGGAACACAAGAATGAGTTTAAACTGTTGATTTGGTCTCCAAACTCTCCAGATCCCAATCCAATTGAGCACCTATGGGATGTGCTAAAACAAAAAGTCGAAACCATGGAGGCCTCAAATTACAACTTACAGGACTTAAAGTATCTGCTACTGATGGCTTAGTGCAAGATACTACGACATACCTTCAGAGGTCTAGTGCAGTCCATGCCTCAACGAGTTATGGTGAATGGTCATAATGTTATTCACTATGCACTTGTATTGTCTTTATTTTCTCTTTTACTTAGTCACTAAATAAAATGAAGTAGATAAATACTAAAAAAAGTGCTAATTACTGTTAACATAGCCTAAGGACAAAAATAAAAAATGCGCATGCAGATCAAATGTCAGTAAACCTGGTAATCCATTATTTGTGGAAGGTGCTGCACCATGTTTATTGACAGAGGACATTTATACCTTTTTAATTTTTCCTTAGTTGCCATTTTTGTCATCACTCTAGAATAACAGAAGATGGATTATACACTGCTCAAAAAAATTAAAAGAACACTTTGAAAACACACCAGATCTCAATAGGGAAAAATATCATGCTGGATATGATGTTCCAACCAACAGTCCCAGATTTTATTGTACTTTCAATACTGATATGGACTGGGCAATGTGTTAGGAATGTAAGGATGCCCCATCGTTTGATGGACATTAAAATTATCAACCTACAGAAGACTGAATTCAAAGACCTCCTCGAAAATCTAAGTGAAAAAAATGATGCAGCAGGGTATTCCATTTTGCTGAAATTTCATTGCAAAAGCTCAAAATGGTACTCAGTAGTTTGTATGGCCCCCACATGCTTGTATGCATGCCTGACAAAGTCTGGAGAAGGTCCCTAATGAGACGAAGGATGGTGTCCTGGGGTATTTCGAAGTATGATATCCCAGAGTTTTTCTATTGGATTTAGGTCAGGTAAGCATGGGGGCCATTCATTGGTATCAATTCCTTCATCCTCCAGGAACTGCCTGCATACTCTCGCCACATGAGGCCGGGCATTGTCATGCTCCAGGAGGAACCCAGGACCCACTACACCAGTGTAGGGTCTGACAATGGGTCCAAGGATTTAATCCCGATACCTAATGGAAGTCAGGCTGCCATTGTCTAGCCTGTAGAGCAGGGGTATTGAATTAAAATTCACCAAGGTCTGGCAGTACAATTTGCATGCATCAGAAGTCCAAATCTCATGTAGGCCCCTGTCGTGCATTGTCATGTGTGCCAAACCACATGTTGCTGCGGTGTGATTTTGAAACAAAAAAGGGCCGGGGACTTCTTCAGGTTTCTAGCAGGTAGTGCTGACCTACCCACAATGTGTGCACCAAATGCACATGTACATATCTGAACCTGTTTTCACATCAATGTCCTCAATCCCCATTGCACATCACAGTCCCCTCCTCATTCAAAGCAAGATCCCTCTTGATGAGTGTCCTCAGCTCCCCCTTTACATCACCCCCCTCCACCCCTTTCACAGTAGTGTTCTCACACTTCCTTGGCATCAACCCCCCCCCAACAGTACTGTCCTCAGCCCCCCCCTTCACTGCCCCTTTTTACATCATCCCCCGACATTACTTTCCCCAGACCCCCCCCATGTTACTGTCCTCAGCCCCCACATTACTGTCCTCAGTCCCCTCCATGTTACTGTCCTCAGCCCCCCTACACGTTACTGTCCTCAAACCCCATATTACTGTCTTCAGCCCCCCATATTACTGTCCTCAGCACCCACATTACAGTTCTCAGCTCCTCCCACTTTAATGTCCTCATCTCCCACACATCACAGTCCTTAGCCCCCCCACATTACTGTTCTCAGCACCCCCTTAACACTAATGTCCTTAGCCCCTTTAACTTCGCCCCCCTGTCCTATCTTACACAGTGATTGATTGCTAGGACTGCCCTTCATCGTAGCAACCAATCACCTGCTTGTTAACCTCCGGCAGCTCCCATCCTCCATCCAGAACTGTCCTGCCTCCCGCTGTCAGCTCTGTGAGGATGACCGCGAGACAACTGGGGGAAGAAAAGGCTCTTAAATGGCAGGACTGCATAGGTCTGGATGGGACAGTGACTCGGTCCGCATCCAGATCCTGGTCCTTCATTTAGTGATGCCTGCTGTAGAGGTTTGTGTGTCCCTCCATGGATATGCCTCCCCAGACCATCACTGACCCACCACAAAAACGGTCATGCTGAACGATGTTACAGGCAGCCCAACATTCTCAATGGCTTCTCCAGATTCTTTCAGATACTGGTCCTGCTGATGGGTTAAGGACTTTATACGGCCCTGTCCAGCTATCAAAGAGTAACTGCCTGTCTCCTGGAATCTCCTCCACGTTCTGGAGATTCGCTGGGAGACGTTTTGGCAATGGCACGTATTGATGTGCCATCCTGGAGGAGTTGGACTGCCTGTGCAACCTCTGTAGGGTCCAGGTATCGCCTCATGCCAACAGTAGTGACACTGACCCTAGCCAAATGCAAAACTAGTGAAAAACAGTCAGAAAATATGAAAAAGGTAAAAAAATGTCAGTGGCTTCCACCTGTAAACACATTCAGGTTTGGGGGTCATCTCATTGTTGCCGATCTAGTGCACCTGTTGTTAACTTCATTAACACCAAAGCAGCTGAAACTGATTAACAACCCCCTCTGCAACTTAACTGACCAGATCAATATCCCAGGAGTTTAATTGACTTCATGCTATATTCTGATTAAAAAGTGTACCTTTATTTTTTTGAGCAGTGTATTTAAAGAATGGGCAATGTTTTGGGATTTGCCCTAAAATATTCTGAGATCTAAGCTGTATACCAGCACACCGAGGATCACCAATATGGGTCCAGAAGTTTTAATGGATGATCACATAGTTACAGAAAGGCAACGTTTCGGAGTCTCACAGGACCCCTTCATCAGGCATGTGACCATCACATGCCTGATGAAGGGGTCCTGCAAAACTCCGAAACGTTGCCTTTCTGTAACTATGTGATCATTCATTAAAACTTCTGGACCCATATT